TAAGTTTGTATCCCTGGTGATGTTTGTGCCTGGAGAGCACTATATAAGTGGTGCTCTTCAGGCACAATCTTCCTCAGCCTACTCAAGCTCAACTGATGAGGGGTGAATTCCCCGAAACACTGTGTATTGAGCAGGGAGTGGTGCTTTCTTGCAGGTTTGCCGAGTCGAAGGTTCGATGGACTTCTCGTGTGCTCTGGATGGCAGTCGTGAGTCAGTCAAGTGTCAAGTAAAGTCGGCGGAAAAGCGCGAGCTCCGGTGTGGGGAGCAAACCCTTTCTTTCAAATTATCGCCGAAGTCGCAACCACTACTTCGAAATGTCAGTTCAGCTCATTTTATTGATTGCGGTTATCAAATTATTGTCTCCTCGCTGTTTGTTTGAAAAAAGAAAGAGCGTTACTTACATAGAGAGATGCTAGGGAAGGCACATGTGGAAATCATATACTTTGAAGTACTAGTAACAGCGAAGATGATCTGGGACGTGGAGAAGCTGCACTGTGACGTGTGAGAATGCATAGATCAACCTGCCACTTTGGTTCGTTCCAATGGCAACTTAGACTGAGACTCTATTCCCATCAATCGATCTTGCAGATTTTTGAATCCATGTCCATTGAGTGTGTTGAAGTGTATCCCTTCCAATGATACACTTTTGTCGAGCAGAGCTACTAACAGAAAAGTCACATGAAAAAGTCATGAATTTTATGTTTCCGGAGGACGTAATTTCACCACCAGCCCCCCCCCCCCCCCCCCCCTGACACGCCAACACATACACACATACACACACACACACATTTGTACTTGTACTTGTTGCTCACTGCCAAAACTGGTCACGTGGGTCTCCCCGGTAGAGGGGAGAGGGACTCAAAAGAAATCTTGGAAAGATGACTCAATTGGCTATTGAACCACACAACGGCCGACACGGCGACACCCCCTGAAATCCTCAAAACCTCGGGGAAATCACCCTGAAATCCCCAAAAGTATACAAAACTCTCGGTTAACAGGTATGTATACTTAAAATAGAAATTATATGAACCCCGGAACGAGCAAAGGTGGCAGGTACAACATTACACCTTCAAACAGCCGAGCCTGTTGGCAACATACCCAACACAATCAGGCATAAGTCTACCCACCAACCAAACTAGCTGGCACCACACACACACACACACACACACACACACACACACACACACACACACACACACACGCACGCACGCACGCCCGCACGCATGTGGGCACGCGAACACACACACATACACACACACACTACTACTGCTGCTGCTGCTGCTGCTGCTGCTGCTGCTGCTGCTGCTGCTGCTGCTGCTGCTGCGGCTGCTGCTGCTGCTGCTGCTGCTGCTGCTGCTACTTCTACTACTACTACTAGCAGCATGACTGCCAAGATGGGCAAGTGTCACCCCTATGAAAAGGGGACCAGAAAACGGGAGTCGGATCGCAAGCAGGACCGCGAATGTCTGGCTAGGTCCTGCTGCCGGCGGAAATTGCGTTTACAATGTGGGCAGCTGAGGGGCAGAGCTGCTCTCTCCGCAGCAGATGGTCTCGCACCACGATTGCAGTTGTGACACTTGAACCCGGCCGCAGAACGGAAGCATCCCTGACATGTTGGGCAGTGCCACTGGCAACAAGCTGAAAGTGGCACAGACAGACTGACTGTTGGTGTAGGAGAACTCGTGACAGGCTGGTATCGATGAACAGAGTACCCACCCTTGCTGCGGAACCACCTCTGGCAGTTCTGGCACTGCACTGATCCACACTGGAGCTGGATGGGAAGCCGTCTCTGAGTGGTGCACTTGTGCCGCGTTCTATCGAAGACCCGTGAGAAGTTCCGGTCACACACTGCGCAATGCACAGAATGGGGCATGGTTGACCTCGACTGAGGGGCAACCCGTACTTCCCTCCACTGTTGGCGGTCCTGAGCAAGGATGAACCACTGAGATGGCTGTTGCAGTGCAAACTTGAGGTCGGTCATCACCGTGTCTTTCCACCGTCGCCGGGGACCACAAAACGGCAGAGGCACAGGTAGCCACCCAACGTGGCCAATCCATTCCAGACGCCGATTGCTGAGGCGTGTAGACATCAGTACTGGGTCTCCCCAACGGTTCCGCCACACACACACACGCACACACACACACACACACACACACACACACACACACACACACACACACACACACACACACACACACACACACACACACACACACACACTACTACTACTACTACTACTAGCAGCATGACTGCCCAGAGGGGCAAGTGTCACCCCTATGGAAAGGGGACCAGAAAACGGGACACGGATCACAAGCAGGACCGCGAATGTCTGGCTAGGTCCTGCTGCCGGCGGAAATTGCGTTTACAACGTGGGCAGCTGAGGGGCAGAGCTGCTCTCTCAGCAGCAGATGGTCTCGCACCACGATTGCAGTTGTGACGCTTGAACCCGGCCGCAGAACGGAAGCATCGCTGACATGTTGGGCAGTGCTGCTGGCAACAAGCTGAAAGTGGCACAGACAGACTGACTGTTGGTGTAGGAGAACTCGTGACAGGCTGGCATCGATGAACAGAGTAGCCACCCTTGCTGCGGAACCACCTCTGGCAGTTCTGGCATTGCACTGATCCACGCTGGAGCTGCATGGGAAGCCGTCTCTGAGTGGTGCACTTGTGCCGCGTCCTATCCGAGACCCGTGAGAAGTTCCGGTCACACACTGCGCAATGCACAGACTTGGGCATGGTGGAGCTCGACTGAGGGGCAACCCGTACTTCCCTCCACTGTTGGCGGTCCTGAGCAAGGATGAACCACTGAGATGGCTGTTGCAGTGCAACCTTGAGGTCGGTCATCACCGTGTCTTTCCACCGTCGCCGGGGACCACAAAACGGCCGAGGCACAGGCAGCCACCCAAAGAGGAGTTGGAGGGGGGTGCGATCCTCATCCATACACGCAACGTGCCCAGTCCATTCCAGACGCCGATTGCGGAGGCGTGTAGACATCAGTACTGGGTCTCCCCAACGGTTCCGCAGGTCTGTGGATGACAGCCGCTCGGACCACTGACGAGGCTTGGTGATGCTGAGGACAGTCCGGATGCATTGATGGTGGAATTTATCCAAACTTCTGATATCCCGTTGGAGTGGGGTCCAACACTCTCCGCCATACAGTAATATTGAGGAAACGCAGGCCATGTACAGGTGGCGTTTACTAGAGAGGGACAGAGATCTGTCAGTGAATACCTTCTGGAGGGCTCCGAAGGCCTTTGAGGCTTCGGCAATACGGCGCTTGATGTCGGATGAAGAACGACTGTCAGGGGTCACTATGGATCCTAGGTAGGTGAACTTCGGCACGGCTTCGATAGTGCCAAGGGGGAGAACGATGTCAGCCGAGTCTTCAGCAGAGACCCCATGGCCCGCCGTCATGATCTTCGTCTTGGCGATGCTCACAGTTAGTCCAAATTCTCGGGCAACACTACAGAAGAGCTCCACACCAAACTCAGCATCACTACGGCATTCAGACACGAGAACGGCATCATCAGCATACTCCAGGTCACTAACAGACAGTGACTCGCCAGCCCTGCGCGATGATGAGCGGGGGTAGAGTTGGCCATCGATGGAAAACTGGATGCTGACAGAGTGACTACGACCTGCATCCTTTAGCCGGGCACGCCATGTCTGAACAACCGCCCCGAAGTACAGGTTAAAGAGAACGGGTGCCATGACACATCCTTGTCGGAGACCATTAACCACAGGGAACTCATCAGAGGTGGAGTTGCCAACTCGGACCGAGGCAGAGGTAGAGGTGTGGAAAGCCTTAATCAGGGCCACTAGCTGTTGCGGGACCCCAAGTCGGCCCAAGGCCACCCAGAGAGCAGCGCGTGGTACAGAATCGTACGCCTTTTTCAAATCCACAAACACACAGAAGAGCTGCTGACGATGTTCGTATGCTTTCTCGATTAGCTGGCGGAGCGAGAAGATGGCATCAACACAGCCCCTGCCTGGCCGAAAGCCGCTCTGGGACTCTGGGAGTTCCGACTCAGCCAACAACTGCAGGCGATCTTGAATGATGCGGCCACACACCTTGCCAACAACATCAAGAAGGGCAATACCCCGCCAATTATCACATTTGGACAGGTCGCCCTTCTTGGGAACAGGAACCAACTCGGCATCGCGCCATTCCTGCGGAACAGTGGCCGTCGTCCAAGCAAGTTGGACGAGATCCAGCAATGCGTCCAGGGAATCATGGCCACCTGCTTTCACAAGCTCGGGGACTATACGCGAGGAACCTCCAGCTTTGCCATTTGCAAGGTGTCTGATGGCGACGACAAGGTCTTCCATTGTTGGTGTGACTGCCAGATACTCGTCAGGCTCACGTTGAGGGATGTTAGCAACGGTGGAGGCATTGAAGGTACTGGGGACATTGAGCAAGTTCGAGAAGTGAGTGGACCAGCAGTCTTCCTGCTCCTCCAAAGACGTGCAAACTATGCCCTCAGCATTACGGACCGGATGGATGGTGACGGATCGGAGTCCTGAATAGCACCGTTGAATGTCTCGGATGGCGGACCAAACGTGCTTACCACACACACACACACACACACACACACACACACACACACACACAACGGTTCTGTCCTTTGTTGCCTCATCAATACAGCACTGGGGGAATGGAGCTCAGCCTGATAGCAATGACAAGTGTAAAGCTGAAGAATTGACCAATACTACTCAGCCTGGTTTACAGCGCACACCTTTTTGAAGTGTTTTGTTTTCCCGGGCAGTGAATTCCTACACCGTTTCTTGATATGTGTTCCTTGTTAAGACAATACGTAATCAAACACCGTGCACATAGCATGGTATGTTACGAAGACCACATGGATAACTTATTTTATTATTTTTTCTCCCATTATGTGAACAGATTGCATGATGAATACTGATTGGCCAACATGCTAGTATGATTTTCACCCGGTCAGGATTGTTAACTTATCAATATGATCTCTACTGTGTATCTACAGGTTGCAACACAAAATCACTATAGGTCTATTCGTGATACCTCTACATCATTTGGTAGCTACGGTAATGACAGGGTGCAGTTCGAACATCCACGTGGTATCACAATGAGCAACGATGGAAAGGTCTTTATTGCTGATTCTGGCAATCATCGGGTGAAGGTTAGTTTATAGAAACCAGCACCCACATCTATCTCAATACACAATTTTCATCATCTTCTTGATGTATAGCAAGACATGTAAACTGCATCTGCAATATTGCTCTACAGTAAGTCATTGGTCTGGTAGATAGTGTTATCAACCCACATTTCCTTATGATAGTTACTCCTCTCCTAAAAGCCATCATACCATAGGAAGGTGTGAAACGATCTCTTGGATCCCCATATTCTATTTGCATATCGGAGCTTTGGGATTCGATATAACAGTGTATACCAACCCGAAATCGGGTTTTCCTTTGCTGGAAAAAAATTCGTAAAAGAAAACTGCCCCACATGTGATCAATCAGCTCAAACGCGGAAACTCTAGCTTCTTATTCATCTTTTTTTTCTTTGCTCGAGGAAATGCTTCGTTGAAAATTTCTGTTGTCTTGAGTTTTCGGTATGGAATGGGCACCTCAGGATGTTTATTCGCTAGTCCAGCGGGCTCTGGACCAAGCCTTGTGCCCACTCTAGAGGCGTTTGGCTTCTTTAGAATGCCACAATAGTCGATGCGGGTGTAAAATTTGGAGTCCAACTCCAGGCAAGAGCATGATTCACGGATCGTGGATGGTACATGTACCCAGAAACTGATCCACTCCTGATCCCAGTTCCTTCACAATCGGCTGAGTCCTCTTTGGCGAGGTCTACTCTGCCCGCTCAGGCTTCTAGAGCCGGTCTTGAGCATACACGTGGCGGGTTCGTTGATGGCGACCTGGTAAATAATCCCACCCTGAAGCCACTTGCTGCTCGGTCCACCTCGAGAGAGCCACCTAGGCTACAACCTCTTCCCTCAAACCTGTGTGATCCTGAAGATCCAGCAGGTCTGGCACAATCAAGCCACCTGCCGCTTGTACGCGCCTATCTGGTGTGGCAACTGATGATTTGGACTCTCAGTCTGGTAGCACACATAGTCTGGGTCCAAATACTGACTGGCCAGTGGATGACGGGGATGAGAAGGAGAAAGGGTTTACCCGATATGTTTCGTATGAAACTGCCAAGCTTCCCAAGTCATGTCTTCCCTCAGAACTCCGACGCAAATCCGGGCAGGCATTTTCCCGCCGCTACCCTCGCCCGGACACTCCCGCTGCATTAGTCCTGGCTTTGGATGCGCAAGTCGCCCGCATGGTATATTCTGCTGACAGGAAGCCACCTCGTTCAGAGGCTCGACCGGATAGACCTCAGTACCTGACGCAGCCGAAGTTGTTGAATGTGGTGGATCCCGTTGTGCTTCATTCTTGAGGGACAAGCAAAACCCTGACTTCGGTGAGCAAGGTCAGCAGATCCAGGGCCGGAGGAAGGAGTGTGGGAGTGGTCCAGCCAACCTTTGAGGGGTCCGGGTGATGTCCCCGGAAGAAATATTGAAAATTTACGTGAAATAAGGCGAATTTGGGCATCTCGTGAGGCTCCAGAAAATGCAGAGAATTATAGTAAAAGAACACAAAAACTACTTTTTTTCCATAATATTAAAGCCATACAGTGCCGGGGATGGTAGCATCCAAGAGATTGAAAACTGTCTGTGAGGAATAGGTAAAAAAGCGATCTATAAAGATTTTAAACAATCGACGAGGAGACAATACTTGAATTGTTTGCAGGCAACCTGCCTACCCTCAAGAGAGCACTGCATTTCACACAAATCCATTGGTATCGTTACAACGTTTCGGTCTTTATGACCATCATCAGGAATGAAGTGGACATGGAAAGAACAGCAGTATAAAAGAAGGAGGCAAGCAAGCAAAGCGCGGTACATAGTGACAGCGCGCGTAGAGAAGTGCAAAGCACGTCATGGCGGGTGTGCATTACTACATATACATGACAACACAAGCACAAACGGCGAGGAAAGTATATACTGCACTACAGCAGTGATAACAGCCCAGTTCCAGTCTCACACCACCAGTGAGGTGTCTAGAGCCCCGCGCCACTCGCAGTAAGGTGGTGTTATAGCAGATCCCAGCCACTGTTGTTGTTAATTTCCGGGGATCGCTCCCTGATATTGATGGCCTCCCGAATCCTCCTCCTGGGGCGGTCACGCTCAGAACCGAGAACCCGGATACCTGAGAAACCGTTGCTCCCAATGGCAATGGGTCAGATGCATGCTTGCCAACGAAATGCTCACCCAGCGCGGTGCCGCTCACTGTGTTGCGTGCGTCGTCGTTGTGTTCTTTTGTCCTGGTAGCGAGGCTGCGGTACGTCTCTCCGACATATTTATCACCACATTTGCACTCGAGGTGGTATACAACATTTCGCTCCGTGCATGCCCCGAGGAGACAATAGTCGTAAAATGGCAATAAATAAGATAAATTGTGCACTCATAACAACAGCAAAAATGAAGAAAGTCAAGTTCCATAACGTTTTCTTGTGACTGCCATCAGTGGAACGCCGTCACATAAAAATGTAATAACTAAAACACACACTTTTATACATGTACCTAATATGGTTTCAGGTAGAAATACAGCAGCCATCCAGAAGAGAGTACAGCGAGCAAAAGCGTACCAATCCCTTTCAATTGAAAGGACCTTCATCAAGGATGACATTGCGCGATCCACAGATACACTTGACAAGACACGAACTTCATTTAAACACCTCTACCGCGAGGCCCGAGGGTTCCTGTCGCAACATGACTTTCTTCGGTTTTCCATACTTATATCAGAGAATGATGATAGGCTGCACACCCGACTAGTTACCAAGTATGATCAGAACATCAAGTGGCTTCGAAAGAAGCGCTTTGGTGCCATAACAATTGATACCAACACCATAATTAACCTGGCGAACATTCCACTTACCACTGTCCAACAAGAGCCACTATCTACAGGCATAGATTTCGGCATACCACCAACATCGAACATGAAGGAGCAAGTACTTTGCGATTTTGAATTATTTTATCGCAAACTGCGTGATTTTGCACCAGTTTCTGAATCAAAGAAAATGGTGTGCGCAGCCACACTCCGTGCTGCGGCGGAAGAACATGCCGAGCAGGCCGCAGAACGACGGACATTTTCTCTCTCCCGTGAACACATGAAAGCTCGTGCAGAGCTAAAAAAGAACAATAGTATCATCATCACCCGACCGGATAAAGGTCGTGCAACCGTTATTTTGACACGAGTTGACTACAATACTAAAATGGCTACAATACTAGAGGACGGGTCGAAATTTGTGAAACTCGGTTAGGGAGAAAGAACTGGTGACATATCTTAAGAACCTCCGACATGCGAAAGACATATCAGAATCGGAGTTTTTTCGAATGAAGCCAATCGGTTCGGTGCGCCCTAGGATGTACGGCTTGCCGAAGATACACAAACCATCCTGCCGGCTCCGACCCATACTCTCCATGATAGGCTCGCCCCAGTACGCCATATCAAAGTGGCTGTGCGGCATGATACAGCCGGTAGTAGACTACTATTGTAAGCATAATGTCACGCACACTTTCCAGTTTGTGGAAATCCTTCGTGAAAATCCGATTCCAAACACAGCCCATATGTGTTCTTTCGACGTTGTAAGCCTGTTTACAAACGTTCCACTAGACGAGACGATCGATATCTGTGTGCAGACACTCTACCATAATGATGATGACGTCGATGTCCCTTGGTTACCTGAGTCAGCGTTTCGACGTTTGATGTTAATGGTTACGAGTGGTGTCGAGTTTTCGTTCGGTGACGTGATGCACAAGCAAACGGACGGGGTGGCAATGGGGTCGTCGCTGGGTCCGGCACTAGCCAACGTCTTCGTTGGATATTGCGAGTCGAGAATGGATAAAGTAAAGTGGCCTCAGTTGTACGTTCGATTTGTGGACGACTCATTTACCTATTTCGAATCAAGACGTGACAGTGAAGCCTTTCTAACTGAATTGAATGATGTCCATCCTGCGCTGCGCTTCACATGTGAACACGAAGAATCCAGAAAATTGTCGTTTTTGGATGTCTTAGTCGAAAGGACGTGTGATGGTGTTGTCACATCGGTTTATCGTAAGCCTACGTTTACAGGACAATGTATAATGTATGACTCATATTGCTCGGCCCAGTACAAGATCAATTTAGTCCGGAACTTGGTGGATAGGGCAAGACGCATTTGCTCTGACAGTAAATTACAACCTGAACTCGATTTCCTGCGCTCAGTTTTCCTGAAAAATGGATATCCATCATCACTCTTAGCAAAACTGCTCACGAGCAAAGAGCCGCGGAAGGAACACAAAATCGGGCCAACACCGTGTCGGGTGTTCTTATGCTTGCCTTGGAAAGGCTCTGAATCAACAAAAGTCAGTCGTGCAGTGAAATCGATCGTGCAAAAGACATACTATGCAGTGAATGTAGTTACTGTCTTTACAACGGTGCGTTCGTTCACATTGTTGAAGGACGTCCTGCCAACCCACCATTTGAGCCATCTCATTTATCAATTTGAATGCCGACAATGTGGTAGTCGGTATGTTGGCAGGACGCTTCAACACTTGTCCGAACGCATCAAGCAGCACGTCCCATTATCATTGTTGTCCCAGGCTGCCAGGTTAAGCAGGCCGAAGCGTGGGAGACCACGAAAACATCAGCTGCCTATTTCTACACCTAGCACGGTCACAATTCGGAAACAGAAACACCGACTACTTCCATGGAGAACGAGCAGACTAATCTGGTTCCCCCCTCGGAAACCGGACCACGGCAAGGGAGGCCGCCGGACGGTCGCTCCTCGACAAACCATGTTGCTACAACGGTAAGAGCGGAAGGGGAACAACTTGAAAACAGAGCAGAACCGAGGAGAAGCAAGATACTAGCAGAGGCACGACTGAGACAAGTGGAGAACACAAGGCAAGGAGACGCAGGAGGAAGCACAGGCACGGCACAGAACGAATCAAGGAGAGGGAAGCGGTGTCGCGAGGAGATGGAGACTGATGACGACGAATACGAGTGCGATGGGATGGACGGCGGCATTGGAATGGAGGTGGAGGATGAGAGTAGTGATGAGGAGGAGTTTGATGTTGAC